TTGTTTGTTTGTTTGAGTAGAATTTGCATCATGTGCCTTACAGATCCGCTACCGGATTATGAATCTGGAACAGGGTCCAATGAGTCTGTTAGGATGAAAGAACACCAATTAGTCCTGCAATTTTTTCCCCAGTGGCCAATGGCTCGAATTAAAAAAAAAAACGTTAGCAAAATCAGGAAGCAATGCTTCCTTAATAGTTCATATCTTTTTATTTTATTGCAATTTATTTTATTTTACTTTATTTATATACCACCTGATCAGTGAATTCACACTACCTTTTTACCCTAGCATGAGCTTCCCTCCTTTTGCATATTGCAAATTTGGCTTTCTTAGCAATTCTTACTACTCAGACATGGTTATTCCTAAGAAATCGTGTGCCTGGAGAGAAAACATAGTAATGGCAAGGAACACACATTTTCCTTAACACGTGATTTCAGCCTGTACGAAGACTGAAGTTTTAACTCATGCTCCAGCCTTCTATTTCTGAGCATCTTGGGATGTCAGAAAGTGCAGCTCCAGGTGAAATTGCATAACCCTGGGTTGTGATATGTCCTTGATGATGTAAAGGTAAAGGTTCCCCCCTTGACATGTAGTCCAATCATGTCCAACTCTAGGGCGTGGTGCTCATCCCCGTTTCCAAGCCGTAGAGCCAGCGTTTGTCCATAGACAGTTTCCATGGTCACGTGGGCAGCGTGACTAGACACGGAACGCCATGACTTTCCCACCAAGGTGGTACCTATTTATCGACTTGCATTTTTCACATGCTTTCGAATGGCTAGGTTGGCAGGAGCTGGTCAAGCGTCGCGTGGATTCGATCTTATGACGGCTGGTCTTCTGACCCTGCAGCACAGAGGCTTCTGTGGTTTAACCCACTGCACCACCACGTCCCAGTCCCTTGATGATGTAGCCCTTGTTTTTCTCTGTTGTGTTACAAATGAAGTATTCCAAGGTGGCAAATGGAGACGTGTAATTAAGCACAATGCAGCTTGATATTCAGACAGTCATCATGGTAGGCACTGAGGCACATCGTAAAAACCATTTGTAAACACTTCAGAGAAATTTGGCTACTCCTTGGATCCTCCAGCTTCCAGGAGGAACCAGTGTGAAGCATAGAACAGCAATACAAAGACAATTGCACAGGTTGGTATGATTTCCAGCATGTTGCGATATTTGTATTCCTCAATAGCCACAACTTGGAGCACAATTTCATGCTGCAGACCAGTCTGCTTTGGTGTGCGGCAGCATGAAATTGCATTCTAAGAAGTGTTTATTGTGGAATATACAAACTTTCCTCTTGGTGAGGAGTTCTTTGAAACACACACTGGGAAACGTACCAAGCTTAGCAGTTTCTGTGTTTACATTTGGTGTCTCCTTCTATAGCAGAAATTGATTGGTTTTCAGGAGAGAGAGAGAGAGAGAGACCCTGTAACCCGTCCTCTGCTTTTGTGGCTCATACAGTACTCAGAATGAGTAATGCAAAACTACAAATCAAGAAACCCTGACTTTTTTACACAACAAGCTCTTGAAATCACCTTTAAAAGCCTTCTCTCAGCCTCTTCTCTCCCCTGCACAACATGGGAACAGAAACATCGACCCCCTTGATAAGCCCCTTCTTGGCGGCAGACCTTAACATGATGAAGTTTTTTCGGTGTGCCAGAGAAGCTGAGAGCGATTCTGTCAGGTGGCCCTGGAGCACGGTTGCAAGTCCAGATTGTAAGCAGGGTCACCCAAGGCAGAATGGCCAAAGCTGAGACGCCAGGCTAAGCAGAATCCGCTAGAGGTGTGGCATGCAGGATTTTTGGATTCCAACGGACAGAATTCTCCAGAGGCAGAATTCTGGGAGTTCCAGCCCACAAGCCCATACCTGCAGACACCTTCATTTTACTCACCTGGGCAAAGGCAAGGCCGCCTTATAGGCCTGCTGCCATACTTCCTGGGAGGAAGCTGCTGCAATGCTTCTTGGGAATGGTAGTTTCATTACCCTTTATCCTCTGTAGAGTACACCTTCTGAAGAACCATCATCCCCAGGAAGCACTGCTGCAGCTTCCTTCCAGGAAGCACTGCAGCAGGAAATGGCCTAATGGAAGGGCTAGGAGGCCTCAGCTTTCTCCAGGTGAGTGAAAGGCAGGTACATGTTTTTGGGCTCAAACTCCAAGAATTCTGCCTGGGGAATTCTTGGAGAATCCTGGCAACTGGGGTCCAAAAAACTTCAGATGGCACACCTCTAATGTCCACACTGTTCAGGAATTAATGGTCGTATCAGAAGAGAATTGATAGTCCCAAGTGTAATGGGAGGAGAGAAACTCCAGAAGGGTGGCTAAGGGGCCGTGGCAGCAGGGAAGGTGACATGGGTGGCAGAGGTCGTGTCATTCACACCAACTCTTGTTAGTACAGTGCAGAAGGAATCCATGTGCAATCACCTCTTGATATTTTATACCTTGAAAACCCTATGATGAGATGAACCGAACTAAAATAAGAACTCGTGCTGGAAGATGAGAATCCCAAGTAGAGAGACACTCAACCAGCTACTGAGAAATGAGTAAAGGACAAGTATAGATAGTGCTGATATGAATAAAATACGTAACTGTATTAAAGCTGAGAGGGTGTCTAGTTACTAATCTAACAAAAGGCAAAAAGAACGTCTAATGCTATACGTAGGACAAGTCAAAGTGGAAGATGGAATGATAAATATGAATCAATGGAAATCTGCAAATGGAACATTTAAACATGATAATACTTTGCGTCAGTGGACTGCAATAATAATTTTTTGATCAGATAATTGCAGTGTTTTGCTCTGGAAATAAGAAACTCCAAAGAAATTGCGGCTGTAATTGTGAGGCAAGACATAGCACAAGAAGTAAAGGGTTATAATGCAAAGTCTGATTGATTTATATCAATTAGACTTCATGCAAAGCCTGTCAACATAGCCATAATTAAAGTCTATGTGCAGACTACCATGGCTGAACAAGAGATGGGTAGAAAGCTTTTCTGCCAGTGTTCAAGAGGAAATTGATCACAGACTAAAAAGCATGTGCTGATTAATCAAGGGTGGCTGGAATGCAAAAAAGTAGGAAATGAAGCAGAACCAAACATTATAGGTCTGCAAGCCAAAAATTATACAGGAGAGTGGTTCATAAAATAATGTGAAATTTGTTTATCATAAATATATGCTTCAAATAGTCTAATTTATGATTGGACACATGGACATAACCAGATGGTCAGTGTAGAAATCAAATAGACTGTATAATTGGAAGCAGAAGGCGGAGAAGCTCTGTTCTCTCATCAACAGAAGACATGCGGCAGACTGTGGTACTATAGGAGAATGACACAACTTTAATACTTTAATGACGATGAAATAGAAATTGCTCAAGATTTCCCATGCCTCAGTTCGGTCTGCAGCCAAGAAATTAGAAGAAGACTGAGACCTCACCTGGAGGATTGTGTCCAGTTCAAGAAGGATGTTGACCACCTGGAACGTGTCCAGAGGAGGGTGACCAGAATGGTCAAAGGGGTTGGGAATGTTTAGCCTTACAAAAAGAAGTTTGAGAGGGGACATGACAGCCATGTTTAAATATTTGAAAGGATGGCATGTGGAAGAGGGGACAGGTTTGTTTCCCAGGGCTCCAGAGACTAGGACACGGAGCAATGGCTTCAAACAACAGGAAAAGAGATTCCATCTGAATATTAGGAAGAACTTCCCAATGATCAGAGCTGTCCAGCAGTGAAATAGGCTGCCTCGAAGGGTGGTGGAGTCTCCTTCTTAGGAGGTTTTCAGACAGAGGCTGGATGGATGTTCCCGCATGGTGGGGGGTTGGACTGGATGGCCTCCGTAGTCTCTTCCAACTCTATTACTTCAAAGGCCAGCTCTGAAGGGTCTAAAATGGTTCCTCAAATATAAAGATGTGGCCCTCATAACAAAGGCCAAGATCGTCCACACTCTTGTATTCCCACTGAGACTGTCCGGAGGTGAAGCTGGCCAGCAAAGAAAGGTGGCGATCAATGCATTCGAAATGGGGTGTTGGCGAAGAGCACGATGGATACCGTGGAGCACCAAAAAGATGAATTCAATATGTGCTAGAGCAAATTCAACCTGATATCTTGCTAGAAGCTAAAATAAATGAACTGAGATTGTTGTACAGAATGATCTCCCTCTCCATGGGATCATTATCCACTGATTTACATAGCCGCAGTGTGAAAATCTTTTAAAAGATTAAAAGAAAAAATCCCAAAAATGCATATTTCTAATGATGAATTGACCAGAACTAGCCACTAGAGGGAGCCACGGACAATGCTATGTATAGTGTTTGCTATTAAAATGGTGTTGGCTATACAGTAAATACAGATTTTTCGGCATGGGGGGGGCTTGGGACTGATTCCCTGTGGGTATGCGTGCCCAACTGCATTTCAGACATATTGTGAGAAGAAAAGGCTCACTGGAAAAGGCAAGAATGTGGAAGGCAGCAAGAAAATAAGATCTGAAATGAGATGGATTGACTCACATCAAGGAAGTCACGGCCTCTGTTTTGTGAGACCTGAGCACAGCTGATTAGAACTTCTGGAAATCATTAATTCGTTGGGCTGCCATCTGTTGAAAGGGACTTGGTGGCATAAAAGCACATAGCATGCACTTTACCTGACAGTTGCAACAGTTATGATAAGCCTTCTGAACTGTAAAAATGCTCTCTCTTCTTCTGTTCTAGCTTTCTTATTATATTTTTTGCCCATGCCCTCCCTGAGTGCAAATGAAGAGGTTCCATTTATGTGATGCTGTGTGCTTTAAGGCTGTTAAAATTCAGCTGTTTGCACTGACAAAGAGTGTTCCGAGTCTGTTGGGCTGTTTTTGTTCACGGCCTTGAAATTCTTTGGGATATAAAAGGAAATAAACAATGGCATTAAAAAAGCACTTTCTTCCCAGCTTCTACGCTGTAGAAACAGGCTGCTAGTTTTATCCAGGAGTGAAACAAGCTTTAAAGGACCGGTAAAGTTTCTGGGGAGTGAAGCGAGTTTGCCGAGCAAAATAAGGTATCATTTCTGCCCAACCATGCTGCACTTTACAGTTCGTGAACCCGTTGCCCCGAAGTCGGAGCGCACAGTTTCTGTAGCCAGAAGTTTTGATTATACCACCGACTAAGTCACTAATTTACATGACGGCTCTCCGCATACAAGGTTATGAGGTTGGCGAAGGGAACGGAAAGCGGGACACGGAGCAATTAGCATAATCCTAACCTCAAGTGAAAGCGTTGATCCCTGGACACAAGATCCGTCTCCAGGAGAGCAGCATGTGCCGTGTCTGGAAAGGAAGGCCACCCATTCTGTCCATTTAAGGTTGGGGAGCTGCTTTCTGATTCTGTGGCTGCTGAATATTTGATGCAGAGGTTCAAAAGGGCTCTGGCTACTAATAACCTTGGTATTGACCTTTTCTTCTTTTTTTGCTAAAAGAGCCACCTGGAAGCCAGAGCTATCCTGTGAGAAGAAAATACACAGCAATGTTCTCGTGCATCTTGAAGTGGGTGGATGCCTGAATTGTCAGCAAAACAATAGACTGGGAGAGAGACAGCTCAGCTGTTCTGGCCACAGCAACAGCGATCTAGCTTCATTAAACTAACTCGGTGGAACTTGAGTTCTCTTAAGGCTGTACGTCAGTGGCTCCCAACATCAGATAACCCACATGTTGTTGTTGTTGTTGCTTAGTCTTTAAGTCGTGTCCGACTCTTCGTGACCCCATGGACCAGAGCACGCCAGGTCCTCCTGTCTTCCACTGCCTCCCGGAGTTGGTCGCTTCGATGACACTGTCCAACCATCTCATCCTCTGTCGTCCCCTTCTCCTGCCTTCACACTTTCCTAACATCAGCGTCTTTTCCAGGGAGTCTTCTCTTCTCATGAGATGGCCAAAGTATTGGAGCCTCAGCCTCAAGATATGTCCTTCCATGAGCACTCAGGCTTGACTTCCTTTAGAATGGATAGGTTTGTTCTCTGTGCAGTCCAGGGGACTCTCAAGAGCCTCCTCCAGCACCACAATTCAAAAGCATCCATTCTTTGGTGGTCAGCCTTCTTTATGGTCCAGCTCTCACTTCCATACATCGCTACTGGAAAAACCATAGCTTTGACTATGCGGACCTTTGTCGGCAAAGTGATGTCTCTGCTTTTTAAGATTCTGTCGAGGTTTGTCATCCCAAGAAGCAGGCGTCTTTTAATTTCATGGCTGCTGTCACCATCTACAGTGATCATGGAGCCCAAGAAAGTGGGCTCCCTCGTGTTACTGGACTGCAGCTCCCTGAAATGCCAGCCAGCACAGCTCACGATGAAGGCTTCTGGGAGTTGCAGACCAAGAATATCTTTTCCCACTGCTTCTTGCTGTGCCAGGGCATAGACAGATGGTTCCCCCTTTCTCTCTAAAGAGAAATCCTTGTTGCCTTCCTCTGAACTTGTTCCCCTTTATTTGGCACTGTTTAGGCCTCATCTTGAGTTAGATTTTAGGCATCCTTCAGTCTCAGGGCCTCTGAGAGACAGCAAAGGAAGTAGAACTGGGTGAAGGAAAACCAAGTCCAATGGCAGCATATCCAGAGCTTAGAAAAGTAAAGTTCCTTTTTTAGGGTGCAGCATCCAAATATTCTTTAATCATTATAGTTGACCATGTCAACTGAGGGATTCTAGAAGTGGCAGACCAAAAAGAATACTCTCTCTCTCTCTCTCTCTCTCTCTCTCTCTCTCTCTCTCCCAAGATTGGATCTCTAACTTGGCTCAGTTAAAGCTAGTTGAGGAAGCTCGGGCATGGCTGTGTTCGTTTCAGCAGGGCTTGGGGAGAAGATGCTGCCCCTGAAGATGCTGCCATGGCTTTTGTTTGAATACAAAGATTCGTGAAAAGATGAACATATATTCGGATGATGTCTCGTCTATCCCTGATCAGCTCTGGAGCAGAGTGTGCTGTCTGTGGAACAGAAATGTGCCAAGGAATGACAGGCATTGGCAATTTATGAATTTAAAACGGTAATAGGTGGTTTACATTAGCAGAGGGTGGGTGAAACCACATAAAACTGCTCTTAAAATCTCCATTTATTGCAGTAATGAAATACCAGCATTCATTACGAGTGGCTGTTGCCTTTTGAGGTCAGACAGAAAGTAAAAAAAATAAATAAATTCTGGCTTTGAACCAAGCCACATATTGTATTAGTAAAAGAGTGTGAGGATGGGAGAAAAGACACACACACCCGGGGGCAGTTCGGCCTAATGGGAAGTGAAACAAAGCAGAAGTTCAACAAGAAATGGTCTCCAAGATCTTACAGAGGCTTTCCCCTTCACAGCTTATTCTATAGTATTCGAAGCCCTTGTGCTCTGTTCACTTTACGCAAGATACCTATGGGCTGCTTGTCACGTACAAAGTAGACAGGCAGTGTACAACAGCAATATTGCAGCTAAAATAGGCATTATTGTTAAAGCAAAAAACTCTGCTATACAATATATTCAGCAGGCTATCATTTTGAAAACAAAGCAAAAGGCACTGTAAGTCAATAAATGACCAGGTGATTTTTTAAAAAAATTTTTTTTAAGGAACATATTTGGTGTGAGTTTAATTTCTAGCAGGTGGAAATTCCAACACCGGGGTGCCATTATGCGGTCTTGCATGAACATCTACAGCAGGGGATCCAGCAAAGAGCATGTCCAAAAACCTTACTCTACAACTCTTTCTTCTTTAGAGGCTGCCCTGATTTCGTTTTCTATCCAATCGTTTTGATGGCAGCAGTACTTCAAGATTTGGGTTGTTATTATTATTAAGAGATGATAGCTGAATTTGGAGCCTGCAGATTTAATATCCATTAACAAATTTGACAATATTCCTCAGGGCATGAATAAAAATTGCATTGGGGTCCCTCAGTAGCAAGTAATTACTGCTTAAAAAAAAATCCAAGGCTTCGAATATTTTGCTTATCCTGGTTTGATTCCGTGGACCTGCCTTCCCCTAACTTGGTGGCTTGAAAATTTGCTGGACTACAACTCCCATCTTTGCTGGACTACAACTCCAGGCACACTGGCTGTGGGCGATGGGAGGTATACTCTGACACACCTGGTGAATACCATATTGAAGAAGGCTGCTGTACTGCATTTGTGTTCCATTCACTGGGAGATGTGTGCGTGTGCATGCACATGTGTGAGAGCATGTACGTGCATGCTCTTAATACCTTTAACTTCCGCTTTTTGTCTCTGTCCCTGCAGGCGTTTGTAAAAGTAGCATCTCTTCTACCTGTTTCTGTCGTACAGAGATTCTGGCCTTGCCAATCATTTCTCCTTCCATCACCCTAGGCAGGTGTTCTGGGCAGCTTCCTGACTCCCCTCCCTTCACAGGCAGACCAGGAATAGGAGGCTAAGCTTTGCTCCTTTGGGTGGATACGACAATGCTGTCTTTTTCTGGTCCAAGATATTTCAGAGGAACATGTTTTTTAGGAATCGCTTATGATTTTCCTTAAAGGGTTAAACCGCAGAAGTCTCTGTGCTGCCTTTTCTGGTCCAAGATCTTTCAGAGGAACATGTTTTTTAGGAATTGCTTATGAGTTTCCTTAAAGGGACGTGGTGGGCTACGGGTTAAACCGCAGAACCCTCTGTGCTGCAAAGTCAGAAGACCAAGCAGTCGTAAGATTGAATCCATGCGATGGAGTGAGCACCTGTCGCTCATCCCAGCTCCTGCCAACCTAGCAGTTCGAAACCATGTTAAAATGTGAGTCGATAAATAGGGACCACCTCGGTGGGAAGGTAACAGCATTCCGTGTCTAGTCGTGCTGGCCACGTGACCATGGAAACTATCTTCAGACAAATGCTAGCTCTACGGGTTGGAGATGGGTTTTCATTTGGAGTTCATAGAATCATGGAGTTGGAAGGGGCCTCCGAGGCCATCCAGTCCAACCCCTTGCTCAAGGCAGGAATCTCAAATCAAAGCAGATCTGACGCATGGCTGTCCAAATTTCTCTTGAATGCCTCCAGTGCTGGAGCACTCACCACCTCCCCCTGAGGTTATGGGTTCCACTGTCGTGCTACTCTAAGAGTTGAGAAGTTTTTCTTTATTCCCTAAGCAGAAGGAAAATTCTTCCCTATTCCTGCTGGGACATGAGACGTGGTCCTCTGTTGTTGTTTTTTTTCAGGCATTGGCAGATCTTCAAAAGGTGCCCTCTAGCAAACCCAGGGAAATGTGTCATTCCTTCTACCCAGCGATGTGCTTTTAGGAGCCGATGTGAGCACCCTTGACCTCGGTCATTTCTAACCAGAGGTGGAGAATGTTACTTTTTGTGGCGGGGGTGGTGGTGGTCTGCAATTCTGAGAGTACTGCAGCCGGCCGTAGAATTCGGAATCAAACTCCCAACCTTTGGCTTCTTGCACTCACGGAGTTATCCAGCTAGTTCATACCAGTACGCAGGGTTTACAATCTAGAAACAGGGTATGAGAAGTCACCCTCCTGAATCATACATGATCATTTCCTTGATCCCCTGCTTTACAAAAAAAAAAAAGCCTCGTTTGTATTTCAGGCTCTCTCCAAGCAGCTTCCCTATTTTCTCAATCCTAGTTTCATAATATGCAGAGCAACGCCGGTGCGAATTCAAATTCTTCCTCTCCGGATTCTGTTTTCTCCCTCCTTACTCACAACCGCTCTGAACGATAAACTTGCAGAAATGAAGGGAAAGCAAGCCCTTTTCTTCCTAGGAATTCTGGTCTTTTTTTAAAAAAAATACAAAATGTTAATTTCCTTGTGAAATTTATGCCTGCCGATGGAGGCAGCTGGGAGGCATCCTGGGCAGTTCTAACGAGACAGTTCATTAGCCCGAGAGTGTACATACACCATAAAGAACATTAATTCAGAAAATGAAAAACTAATAGGGTGTTTAGCTGGCTCTTTATCACTTGTGACAGTCAGCTCTGGCCCAATCATTAGTGTTTACCAAACGGATGGGGGCCACCGCCCTGGCCTGCCTTATCTCAAATGAAATTGTCGGTGCTTTTCCAGCTGGGCTTTCTCCGG